CGTCTTAAATAATATTTATATTTTATCTTAATGGGAGAAAAAGTTGCACATATAATTTTGGACGAATAGACCTGGTTTAATTTAATTATAAACCAAGTTGATATATAGAACTTTGATATTTTTTAAAAACGTTATTATTTTTAATATAATTTAAATGGTAAAATCGTAATCGCATTTCATAATTCAAATATATAAAAGTTCTTCAACGAAAAGTTATCCAACAAAAATAACATAATAAATATTTATAAAGAAACTAAATATTTTCAACTATTTATTTACCTATCTACAATTTTAATTAAACTAAAAATTTTGGTAAAATATGACAACTTATTTGAGGGTTAGCTTGTATATAATAAATAATTCTAAAGATTCATACTTAACTTTATTTAAGAGTATATACCTAAATTTTACTGAAATCATGCACACGTGAAATATATACATTATCTAACAAACTAAAAAAGATAGAACAATTCCTTAACTACTTCATTATTTAAGAAAATAAATGTTTTTTTATTTGGAATTAAAATAAAAATTGCACCTTAGTCTTATAAAATTCAATTATGATCCTACAAAAATCGTTATTTATTTATTTGTTTTTTTTTTTATCAATTTTGGTTGCAAATTCAATAAAGTTAACGAATCTTCACATATCCATTAGATGGTTAATATCAAGGTGAATAATATTTTAATTGTTAATGCTTAAAATATTTAAACTTTTCATTCAATAATTAACTAAAATATACCATGATATTTTAATTATTATTATTACTTTATCTGAGACAAGATGAGTGCTAAATAAACAATGAGAATTAAAACTTTTGTATATATTAAATATTTTAATTATTGATATTATCTTAAGATTCTTAAACCATTTTATGATTTTTATAACAAAATTTTAGAGTTTATTTGACCATAAATATCCTATCAAATAAGATAAATTTCGATAATATTTATTTGATTTTGTAAATTTATTGATAGCTCTAAGTAAAAAATTTGGAATCAATATCGCTTGTCCTTATAACGACCACAAACTATAGAGAATTATTTTTCAAAATAACCTATAAAATGAATAAATTGTGTAATATATGAAAGATTAATTATTGAATGATTGTTTTGCATCCTAAACTTATTCCAATCTACTCAATTTCTTTGCTTAAAATAAGATTAGAACAATTTTTTGAAATTGTATAATATTAAAACTCAATTCATTTATTTTCAAGTCGAATGTGATAGTAAACAACATGATTTAATTTTGATCATATGATTATGTACAAATTAATTAAAAATATCTCGAGAATCATATGCATATATACGTTAAAATTATTATTTTTTTACCAATAAATTATATCGAAATATACCATTACTCATCTATTTATTGATATGTATTATTATAGTTTTTTTTTCGTAAAACATGTACAAAATTAAAATATCACCCCTATATATTAATCCAGAACGCACTGACCCTATATATTAATCCAGAACGCACTGAGCCTACGTGGCTGTTTCTGGTGCTTCGGAATCCTATGTGGAAAAATTATATGCTTCGTTATTAGGCTTGGATAAATTTTAATTTAATTCCAAACCAAAAATAATTAGGTTCGGATTACCATAAATATGTTGATTATTTATGGTCATGTTACATGTATTAATTGCATTTTAATATCATATAACTATTGAATTGTATATTTATTTTAAAAGTTAATAACTTTTGTATTTTTTATAGTTTTACATATGTAATATATCAAATTAATCTTCTTTTGATGAGTTTCGATTTAACATCCATATTGTATGTATAAAAAAAAAATTAATTTATCTTTATAACAATAATAAAATTATTTTTAATATTAATTAGAAAAATAAAATTATTTATCAACTAATATATTTATATTTCAAGTAATTATATGATACTATAAGTTATAAAAACTAATATAATATAACACATGTAAGTCATAAGTAACACATATCATTCTAAAATATATAGTAATATATTTTTTCTGTAAAAAAGTAAACTAAATTTAATATAGTTTTCTCATTAATTTTAAAATTTAAGAATAATTTTTTAACAAGCACCCGTGTAATACACGAATGTTATACTAGTATATATATATTAATGAGAAAAATTGCAATTAGATATAATGCAATAAAGATAATGAGAAAAATTGTAATTATATAGAATGCAATAAAGATATGAAACTAATAGATATATAATATGACATATAACCAAAAAGTTCTATATTTAATTGTATGCATTTTTAAAAAAAAACTAAAAGTATATATATAAATCAGGTAAAAACTGATTCGTTAAAAATACATAAATTAAGTATATAACATTTGGTCATATGTATTAAAAAAATAAATTAATTGTATATCTTTACACACACTCACACACACACACACACACATATATTAAAAACATATGAAAGAAATATAAAATGAATAAAAAATATTACATCTGATAAATAGTAATATTAAAAATATAATTAAGTTGCAACACTTACTAATAAACATTAAACAAGTTAATAAATAAAAAAATTTATGACTATAAAAAGTAAATATAAACTTTTAAAACTTGTATTTATCCATATAAAAAATTGAATTTATCGCTTGTTAAACATTTTATTTTGTTCCAACAATCATATGTTTAATAAATTAATTCATTTATCTTACTAAACTTAATCAACCAAAAACATTTGTCACCACGTGCATTACACGTGCACTTTACTAGTTTAATAAAAATACAAAAACCATTGTAATAAATCCTAACATAGCAAGAAAGATTCATGTTAAAAGTAGTTGAAAGCAATGACTAACGAAATGAAATTGCAACCAATACATTTGGAATATTACCTCTTGTATCACACGCCAAGAAGATTCAAAAGGATAAGACTCAAGGGAGCCATCGATAGGCATGCCCTCAAGCAATACCTCAACACATGCATGGGCTGAATTTGCTATTGATTTAAGATTATATCCCCCTTCAAGCGCCATTACAATTCTTCCTCCAGCAAACTTCATCAACTAAGCAAAGTATCAAGGAAAGCAAATGAGAGTGTTTAACATATTTTCAAGGAAAATATGACTGTCATGCTGATGGAAGTTAAAATTAACAATAGAAAAGATGATCATCTCTCTTTTTGTTTTTCTTCTTTTTCGTTTGAATAATGACTAACCTTGTTAAGCAAAACAGAGTAGCCATAAGGACTAAGACGGCAGCCTCCCAAAGGATCTCCTATGGCTATTCAATTTAACAATAGACTGAGTGAAAGTTGTGGATTAACCTTAATTTCATGAATAGACAACAGCACATGTTAAGACATTAAGAGTTTGAACGGGGAATATCCGATAAAGACGAGCATACGACTTCAGTTGCATGGAATGTACAAAAAAAAACAAATATGAGCACCTATAGTTTATTCCGGATACATGTTTAACTTAAAACTTTATAAGATCTCTAGTTGCGTAAAGGGGTAATTCAATTCTTATTTCCATTAAATAATAAAAGAAGATTCCTTTGAGCACTGAATAATTGAATATATAAGATTCAGTGTTATGCTACTCGAGCCTTTACAACAATGAAACTAACTCATAAGTTTCAATATTTTGCAAGATCCAATATGACTAACGAAAACAAATAGTTAATAACTACAAGTGTTTCACTCTTCAAATTATCATCTTGTGTTTGTTTTTTAAAATTTTCTAATTAATAATATGCAATACACATTCAACTGTGCAAACTGAACATTTCAAACCATTCGGTGAAAATAACTGATTGACAATCTAGTCGCAAGTTTCGATTCAGGATGTATATAATGTTAAATGAGAAATGCTATAGGTACATAATATTGTACATAGAGGTGTACATAACACTCACATTAAATGGGCCCTACCAAAAATAAAAAATCAAGTGACCCCACTCCATTTTAGTGTTATGTACATCTCTATGTACATTTATTATGTACTTGTAGCATTTTTCATGTTAAATACAGTTTGAAGGGGCTTATTATCCAGTTTGTAACAACAACATGAAACTTGTTTAGCACATAGATCCTGGGCAATTATTTCATAAAATGAAAGAAGGTTAGAAACTAAATGGTGCATCAAGTGATGCGTGAAGCAAATAATAAAAGAGATGCACGAAAATTGGGCTTGACAATTTGATCAGTAACTGCACATACCTGCATCAAATCCAGCAGAGACAATTATCATATCAGGATTGAATTCCTTAGCAACAGGGACTAATATTTGCTCCCAAACAGCGACATAATCAGCATCTCCACATCTACCATTCTCCCAAGGGACATTAATATTGTATCCAGCACCTGGCCCGTCCCCGGTCATGATATATGAGCCATCATGACCAGCTGGATAGAAAGTCCCATAATCAAACCTAATTAAGACATAAAGACAAAAGACCCAGAAACATGAAAAAGAAATAATGACAAGCATCGCATGTCAAGGTCACATTTTGTGAATGCAATATAGTTCTATAACAGAGACCTAATGTAATTCCCATTAAAAAATATATAGAAAAAGGCTTGCATGAGGTAAGCATCAGAACTTGGTAAAACAATACGACCATTAATTACAGTGCAATGGCTTTTTAATAATTAAAAAACAATGCTCGGAGACTGAACTTACGTTCCAAATCAATTCAACTTCATCCCTACATCTACACATAAAGTAAAGAAAAGACTAATTTCATTTATGTATACAATGAAAGCATGTTTGTCCATTGCAAATGGAGCTGGAAGAGTCATTATTGACAATTCTCCTGGCATAGTGCTAATAATGGACTAGATCAAAATGGCTCAATTAAATTCTAGTGCTTCTTCTATTAGTGAAGTTTCTAGAAAAAAAAATAAAATATATCAAACGACGCAATGCACCCTTGTATAATTACAAGGGTAAGGTCTGCGTACAACTAACCCCCCAGACCCCAACCAGTTGGGAATATACTGGTTATGTTGTTGTTGTTGTTGTATACAATGAAAGCATGAAGAATAATAAAGGTGATAACCAGTTCATAAACATGTATCAACTATGTTAACTGCATTGCCTGTGTGCCCATACGTAATAATTATGTTCATGCTTTCCCAATAAACAAAGCAAAACTTGAAAATAATCTTCCTTGTACCTATGAACTGAGAAGAAAAGTACTCTGGGGTCATTGTAGAACATATTCTGAGTACCATTCCCATGATGCACATCCCAGTCAACAATCAGAATTTTCTTGATCCCCAAATCTATCTACAGTACGAGAATCGGCAAGATATATCAAATCTTTTCAGGTAAGAAAAATAAAAGCAATGAGTTTAGAAACTTCTCACTAAATCAAATGCAAGTATAAAACCAGCACTCACTCTTTCATTCAGTAGATAACTTGTGGCAATAGCAACATTGTTGTATAGGCAAAATCCCATTGGTTCATTTTCTTCCGCATGATGTCCAGGAGGTCTCACAATAGCAAATGCTGAGTCGAGTTGTCCTTTAGCAACTTGCTCAGCAACCTATATCAACAAATGTTTGTAAACCCAAGTAGAAATCCTATTTGTAAGCCCAAGGTTATCCAATCAGGGATAAATGCAAAATTAAAAATAAAGAGCAACCATTACTAAGGTAAATTACAAAATTCTCAAAGAATATATTCAAATTCCACGCAGAAGTGAAGCAATAACTTGCCACTTTCTGTACATGTTAAGCTTACTTTCTTATCATTTACAAGTTCAATTCCCCCTACAAAAAATGATGTTAAAAAAATATAAGAAATGTTTAACAAAATATCCGAACGGTCATACCTCTATGACAGAGCCCGCAGCAAGATGAGCAGCTTCAGATGAGCCTTCATTGAAATAAATAGAGTTAAATTTCGAAGCAAGTCTTGTTCTCTTGGAGCCGGAGTATTTGGAGCTAATATTCTTAACCAAGTCGATATGGTTTTTGGTGTGAACCAAAGCCAGATGTTTGTCCTCAGCTTCCTTGGCATCCAGAATCACACATCTGTAAATACTAAGTGTTAATACAGATCATAAGAAAGCGTGAAAATCACATTTCAACCACTGGCACTCAGTCAAATTACAGGAAAGAGAAGAGGAACAAACAACCAACTATACAAACTCCAAGAACAACAAACCCATGAAGCACACACACACACACACACACACGTCCACAGAATAAAAATATGCACATGAATCAAATGCAGAGCCAAACAATTGGGTTTAAAAGAAAGGACCTTTTCGCAAGCCCAGATGAATTGAGGCTGTCCCAGATGACCCGGATGCGGTCCGGACATTCTGGGTGATCCTCATCAGGCGCGTAGTGTTTACACATCCTCTCGTCATATATCAGACCCACGCGCCGAGGTTTTGGAGTAGCACAATTGTTGTTCATGCTCAAAGACCTCTCAGTCCCATTATCGACCTCCATTTCAGTTTTTCTGCAGCTCGTTGCGAAACTCAGTAGGGACGATAATAGGAATGCTGGGTGACCTCGAGTTTGAATTTTGAAGCTGCCCAAAGTTTGGGGAAGGAAAACTGGTAAAGCAAAAGCCGAAATCTTGGGAATAATAAAGCGCACTCTTCTCCACCAATTGGGTATTTTCTCAATTTAAGAAAACCCACAATTCCTTTTTATTTTATTTTTTTTTTCCTTTATCAGTTTTTCATCTTTTTATATTTTGTTAATTTTACAATGCTCGTTTATTACACGGTCATCTTCAATCATGGCCAGATGTACGTTGTTTTGCCAGAGTCACGAATCGTAACAACAGTTTGAAGATATGATTTGTAGTGAGAGGAATTATGATAATAGAAAAACAATGGGGGTGATTGTTTATGGTTTGAATAGTAAAAAAACTAGAATTTTTTAATTATGGTTAAGTTTAAGAAAAAGTTGTATGGTTAGTTATTAGTGGATATATTAAAATAGTATTTAAAATAAAATAGTTAAAATTGATTTGATGTAAAGTAGGAGAAAAATAATTGGAAGTGATAGTTAGTTAAAATTAGTTAGAATTATGTGAGTGGATGAATAGTGAATTAAAGTTGATGTGATATGTAATAATGATTTGTTGATGTTATTTAATTATATAATAATATTAGAGATAGTGGGGTTTAGTTAAAGTTGAGTTAAATTTAAATTTGAGTAAAAAAAATTACTGTAGGGATGATAAACAATCATGCCCTAAATGTTGCATAGTATAATTTTTTTAATAATATTTATAATTTTTTTTCTTAATTATTAATATTTCATTGATTAAATTGTGATTCTTTATTTTGTTTATCCTTCCTATATATAATTTCAGAATGCGCTGAGTCTACGTGGCTGCTTCTGGTGCTTCGGAATCCTATTTGGCGAAGAATCATGCTTCGTAATTAGGCTTGGATGAATAATATTGATATATTAATAATTAATCATCTAGGTTCGG